TTAAAGCCTATCCCCGACGTTACGCGAGATTTCTGGTCTTTTAGCGACAGACTCGCCGTTTTCGCCCTTAACAATATGTAGATTATTCATATATTACCCAACAATGTGCATCTATTGAAAATCTTCTCTTATTTCAAAATTACACACATGGGCATTTTCGCAGGTCAATTAATTAGCACACAGGTGAACGTTATTTCACGCTTATATAGTAAATAGTAATATGATATAAACCTATTGGCTCACAGCTCCATGATCGGCTCTAAAGTTTGAGCGGGTGCTGGCAAAATCCCAACAAACAGAATGCCGACAGGACAACAAAAAATTAATAAGTTTATTTAGGATTAGGTTATTGCATAGGTTAGGGTTAGGGTTTCGGCGATTTTATATACAGTAGTAAAATTGCTCAACGAACATTTTTTATTGATTTTCGGGATTTGTCAGGATTTTGACCCGAACCCGTTTGAGCCGAGCCATTTTAGAGCCGAGCCGTTTTTAGAGCCGAGCCGTTTTTAGAGCCGTTCACATCACTACATACACTTCGTGAAATTTCAATATCACACCGTTCCTGGTATTAAAAAAAATTTTTATTTTATTGATGTGAACCATGCTATGATCAGCAAATTTCGTATGGAATCGGAAATTATTAAACTCGTTTTATAAAATTTGAAAAAAATCTCAAAATGATTAATTGACATATGAAATGGAGATGATTGCAAGTTATCATTTAATTTACTTTCTTACTTTGGTAAACCGATATATTAATCTAGAAAAATCCGGTGGTCCTTTTATTTACATATATAAATACCATTTGAAAAAAAATCTTTTATTTCTTTGTTGGTTTCTCATCATGACACTTTTATCTTCATTCGATTTCAGCATATCCAGCATTTTTAGTTCATTATTATTATAGATATTTTACTCGATTAAATCCTTTACCTGGTCCATTTCCTCTGCCATTTATCGGAAATCTCCATCAATTTTTATATTACGATTATGCAAATTTTGTAAAGAAATGTTATGATAAATATGGAGATTTATTCGAAATTTACGTAAATGGTGATAGACAAATTTGTGTAGGAAAATTAGAAGTATATGATCAATTATTTAATGCATCAACAAAATCAATTTATAAATTAAGAATAACACGTAAACCTGGATTAGAAGAGTTTGGTGTTTCTGGATTTGGTGTGGCATTCAATCATGATCATGAATCATGGTATTTTAATCGCCATTATTTTAGTGAAGCAATATCAATTCCAAACTTTCCTCAAGAAACTCTTGAGAAAGCTCAAAAATATTTAAAGGAAACAATAAATTATTGGAACGATTTAGCTGATAATAATATTACATTTGATTTGAAAAAATGGATATATTGTCATACGGCTGATAATTCTTTGGATTTAAATATAGGAACAAAAGGCTATGCTATGGCGAAATATCATTCAGATTTAACAGGTGAAAAGGCAGATATCCCTGACCAAGATAGAAATTTTATTGATTGTCTGAAGCGATATGGAGAAGGTTATATCTTTCATCTATTCATTGATTCATATGCAAAATACATTCCTTTTATTAATAAAATCGCCAATGATCATGTGGATAATAGAGACAGATATTGGAACATGTTGTATAATGTTATTCGTAAACGAAAGAAGGTTATCGAAAGTACCCCAAAAGATCAAATAAAACATGATATGATGAATTTATTTTTAACAATTAATACTGAACAAGATATTATCAAGAAAAAAGATTTAAGTCCTGAGTATCAACGTCCAATGAGTGAAAAAGAAACAATGATTAATCTATCAGAAGCTATAGCAGGAGGTGCTGATTCAACTGCAGGTGTTACTGCTTTCACAGCATACTTTCTTGCTAAAAACCCAGAAGTGGTAACTAAAATACGCGCTGAAGTGGAATCTATTCTTGGAAAAGATCCTCGTCCAATAAAGATGGAAGATATTGATAAATTTAAATATGTCGAAGCTGTAATAAAAGAAACAGCTCGCATGAGTTCAACTGCACCTCTTCTTGATCGTTATAATGATGCACCTGATGAAGTAGCTGGTTATCATTGGCCTGCCAACACTCATTTTATTATAAATTCTTGGGGAACTCATAATGACAAAAAATACTGGGATAATCCCGAAAAATTTGATCCTGAGCGTTTTCTTAACAATTCTCCTTCTAATAATCTTAAAGCTTTTGTTTTCTTTGGTGGTGGTCAAAGAATTTGTCCCGGAAGAAAAATAGCCATGATTGGAACTAAAGCTTTAACAGCCATGCTTGCTTATCAATTTGATTATGAATTGGTTAATAATAAACCTATCAAACTTAAATATGCTGCTTTAAATCAACCGATCGAAATACCTTTTAGAGTAAAAAGAAGAGTTTTTTAAAATCAAATATATAATTTTATTTTGTATCTTTTTTTTTTTTGTATTTATGTCCACGTAATTAAATGAGTAATATAATAATATTTCCTTTTTGAATCTTAATGCTTAGTCTTATAATTAATGGATAGGAGCTCACTATACTACCTGTAGTACATTGTACTACATTGTGACAGTTTTTAAAAACTCATATCAGTTAATTTAAAAATTAAATATTATTTTAAATATTTTTTTAAAATATTTTAATTATATTTAATATTTATTATATATTGTTAGTTCTAAATATTTTTAAAATTTTATATAATTTTTAAATTTAAAAAAATTTGCAAAAATTTTACTATTAAAATTTCATATAAAAAAGTCAAATTTATTTTTAAAATTTTAAACTTATATTATTTAAAATATATTGGTTTATATATATATAAATTTTAATTAATTTTAATAAATTACAAGGTTTTTTATACAATTATTATAAAATGCACCTATGGTGTTTAGCACTATATATAATTGTTTTTAATAAAATTTAGGGTTAGGATGCATTTTTTAATTTTTTTTTATATATTACAATTTTAGTTTTCATAAAGTTGAGGGCCTTGAACATTTTACTTAGAGTGCCTAATTCTATTTACTTAGTACATTTTTGAAAAATAAGAACCTATGATATTGAACATTATAGATGTATTTTAGTAAACTTGTTTTTATAACTTTTAATAAAATTTAGACAAATTTTTTAATAAATTTTTTTTAAAATTTTACTAAATCTTGAATAAACTCATGATTTGCAGTTATTAGCTTATAAGAGTAAATAATATTTTTACAATATAAATAATAATATTTTTAATAATAATAAAATTTTTGATTATTATTTTATATAATAATACTTTTTAATTATAAAATTTATTAATTTTTAACAAGATATGAGATTTTAAAAAGTATACTACTTGTAGTACACTAAAAATTCTAAAAAATAAATTTGGTTAAAAATTTCTTTCAATAACTTAATTATTAATTTTAAAAAAAAATTAAATAAAATAAATTAGAATATTATATAAATTTTTTTATAAATTTTTTTCAATTTATAAATTTTAAAATTATTATGAGTTTTAAAAAATGTACTACCAGTAGTACAAAGGGTGAGCTCTCATAGGACGACATTTGTATTACAGGGGCGACCGTCCTCATTATACAAATTACGAAAATCTCCGATCAGGTGATAACCAATCAAAAGCGTGAATTT